CATGACATGATGGGACCAGATGCCATGATCTTAGTTTTCTGAATGTTGAGCTTTAAGTCAACTTTTCACTCTCCTCTTTCACTTTCTTTAAGAGGCTCTTTATTTCTTATTTGCCCTCTGTCATAAGGGTGTTGTCATCTGCACATCTGAGGTAATTGATATTTCTCCAAGCAATCTTGATTCCAGCTTTTGCTTTATCCAGCCCAGCATTTCACATGATATACTCTGCATATAAGTTAAATAAACAGGGTGACAATATACAGCCTTGACATACTGCTTTCCTGATTTGAACCCAGTCTGTTTTTCCATGTCCAGTTCTAACTGTTGATTCTTGACCTGCGTACAGATTTCTCAGGAGGCAGAACAGGTGGTCTTGTATTCCCATGTCTTTAAGGATTTTCCACAGTTTGTTGTGATCCATACAGTCAAAGGATTTGTGTAGTCAATAAAGCAGAAGTAGATGTTTTTCTGGAACTCTCTTGCTTTTTTGATGGTCCAACAGATGTTGGCCATTTGATCTCTTGTTCCTCTGCCTTTTCTAAATCCAGCTTGAACATCTGGAATTTTACAGTTAATGTACTGTTGAAGCCTTGCTTGGAGAATTTTGAGCATTACTTTGATAGCATGTGAGATGAGCGGAATTGTACAGTAGTTTGAGCATTCTTTGACATTGCTTTCTCTGGGATTGGAATGAAAACTGACACTTTCAGTCCTGTGGCCATGCTGAGTTTTCCAAATTTGCTGGCATATTGAGTGCACCACTTTAACAACATCATCATTTAGGATTTGAAATAACTCAACTGGGATTCCATCACCTCCATTAGCTTTGTTCATAGTGATGCTTCCTAAGGCCCATTTGACTTCACATTCCAGGATGTGTGGCTCTAGGTGAGTGATCACACCATCGTGGTTATATGGGTCATGATGATCTTCTTTATGTAGTTTTTCTGTGTATTCTTGCCACCTCTTCTTAATATCTTCTGCTTCTGTTAGGTCCATACAATTTCTGCCCTTTATTGTGCCCATCTTTGCATGAAATATTCCCTTGGTATCTCTAATTTTCTTGACAAGATCTCTAGTCTTTCTCATTCTGTTATTTTCCTCTATTTCCATGCAAATCTAGACATATATAAAAGACTTCCTCTTAAATAAGTGCAGAGAAATTGTGCAATTGTAGTATGAAATGTGGGGTAAACTTTTTGCATGATTTTTCTGCTTCTATTTCATAAGAAAACATCCAAGTATATTCTATCTTTGCAGTTTCATAACCTTAACCCATAGTCTCTCTTGAGCCTAAGCCAACTGGGTCTTTGTATTTGAAACCATCATTATTCATGTTATCTTATATTGCTACTTGCCAAATCCAATATTAAATTCTTAGACATCATATTACTTGACACTTGGTAGTATTTGAACCATTGCTAAACCTTTCCTCTTTGGAGTTCTTCCCTTTAGATTCTTCTACTTTTTCATACTCATTTTCAGTGTCTTTTTCTGAATCTTTCTCAGTTTCCTCATTTCTTAAAGCATTGTATTACCTCAGAGTTCAGTCTTTTGATCTTATCCGTTCTTGCTCCACATTTTTCCCTTGTGGAAGTCTATCCAGTAGTGTATCTTTGTGAAAGTGTTAATCGCCCAGTCGTGTCCAACTCTTTGCAATCCCATGGATCCTTTGCAATGCCATGGACTACAGACTGCCAGGCTCCTCTATTCATGGAATTCTCCAGGCAAAAATACTGGAGTGGCTAGCCATTCCCTTCTCCAGGGGATATTCTCCACCCAGGGATCGAACCAAGGTCTGTCAGATACTTTACTATCTGAGCCATCAGGGAAGCCCATATTATATAGTGTCTCTTCAGTGGTGGCCCGTGAAGCTGTATCTCCAGCTCCGATTTCTCGACTGGATTCCAGGCACATATTTCTAATTACCTGTACTATTATCCTGTGGCTGCCAAAACAAATTGCCTTCAACAAGTGAGTGAAGTCGCTCAGTCTTGTCTGACTCTTTGCGACCCCATGGACTGTAGCCCACCAAGCTCCTCCATCCATGGAATTTTCCAGGCAAGAATGCTGGAGTGGGTTGCTATTTCCTTCTCCAGGGGATCTTCCTGACTCAGGGATCAAACCAAGGTTTCCCGCATTGCAGGCAGAAGCTTTACCATCTGAGCCACTAGGGAAGCCTCCATAAACAAGGTAGCTTTAAATAATCGACATTTATTCTTTAGTAGTTCTGAAAGCTGCAGGTCTGAAAGCAGCATCGGCAGGGATGTTCTTCCTGGGGAGTTTCAAAGAAGAACGCGACTTTGCTCCTTCCTGTTTCGAGGGGCTCCAGGCACCCCTTTGCTCATGGCTAGACAGCTGCACTCTCTGCCTCCACATCACATGGGCTTCTCCTCTCTCCTTTCACATCTATCTCTGCCTTTCTCATAGAAGGATGAATGTCGTTTGATTTAGTGCCCACCCAGATAATGCAGGATAATCTCATATCAAGATCCACGACCTTATTAAATCTACAAACACTTAAAAAAGGAAGTAACATTCATAGTTTCGGAAAGGTGGGCATAATTTTAGGGGCCACCTTTCTGTCCACTACAGTCTGCTTTATGATCCCCACAAATTTGTGTCCATCTCACATGTGGAATACCTCACACCGTTCTAGCATCCAGAAGTCTCAGTTCCTTAGAATGTCACCTTCAAGTGTGAAGTCTCACCTGGATATATATGTACTTTACTCAGAACCTACAAAGTGCTGTGTAAGTGCTAAACACAAATGGAGAGTTTAATACTTAGCGGTCACCCTGCTGGCTGCTTAAAACTCTTACAAGGAGTCTAAAATGAGACACTGCTTGATCATCCCATTTTACAGATGAGGAAACCGAGGCATTCTGTGTCTTTCCTGATTGGCAATGCACATTTATGCAGTAATAAGTGAGAGCCAGAATTCAAATGGAGGTAGTCGCAGAATTTGCATTTTTAAAGTATTTCCTGCTGTCTTACGCAAAAGGAATGTGGCAGCCAGAGTGCCAAACTGTCCTTTAAACCTTCCTTCAACTCAAATAGTTGCTAGGTCATGTCCTCCTCTTTGCAACACATGGACTATAGCCCACCACTCTGCATGGTACTCTCCAGGAAAGGATACTGGAGTGGGTTGCCTATTCCTTCTGCAGGGGAATTCCTGACCCCAGGGATTGAACCCAAGTCTCCCTCATTACAGGCAACTTCTTTATCATCTGAGCCACCAGGGAAGTCCCAATTTCAGAATTTTCAACTATATAAATTGAATATCAACCACCAACAGGATTTTGCAAGAAAAAAATATTGTATCTCTATTAAGATTGTGTTTATTTGGTTCTTCGGTTGTTTTGAATTAAGAAAAAATATGAGGCATGAAGGTTTACCTATAGTTAATCATCAGTTCCTTCAGTTGCCTCAAAAAAAGTCCTAATATGTGAAAACAGTTCTTGTATAATATCGTAGTTTCTGATTCTCTCTTGCCTCTTTGTTGCAGTTGTTCAGTTACCCAGTAGTGTCTGATTCTTTGAAATTCCTTTGACTGTAGCACGCCAGGCTTCCCTGTCCTTCATTATCTCTCAGATTTTGCTTAGATTCATGTTCATTGAGTTGGTGATGCCATCTGTCTTATCCTCTGTTGCCCCCTTAACCTTCTGGTCTCAATCTTTCCCAGCATCAGGGTCTTTTCCAGTGAGTCAGCTCTACACATCAGGTGGGTAAAGTATTGGAACCTCAGCATCAGTCCTTTCAATGAATATCTCAGGACTGATTTCCTTTAGGATTGACTGGTTTGATCTCCTTGCAGTCCAAGGGACTCTCACGAGTCTGCATCAGCACCACAGTTAGAAAGCATTGGTCCTTTGGTGCCGAGCCTTCTCTTGCCTCCTAAGTCCTCAAAAATAGCTTTGAAAATTTAACTCCACTTATATTTCCTTAGACAAAGGAAAGAGGGTCACCATATGACATAAACTCATATTTAACCTAACATTATAAGAAAAGAAGTGATGACTTAGTATTACTGAATTTATAAAATTTTGAGAGTCTCAAAGAAGGGAGAAAAATGAGTCTCAGGGAAGAAGAATGACTCTAGGTCTCAGAAGTTTAAGGATTTCAACCCTGTCCTCTCCCCAATTCGTCTTAAAATGAGTTGCTTTAGTTCTTGGAGTCACTCATTCCTTATTTACGTAAAAGTTATAATAAGACCTTCTTTATGGGATTATTCAAAGGATCTGGTAAGACTGCACACAGAAACTTTCTAACTGTGAAATCACAGAGTTGCACATAATCCTTGGTAGGTTTGATTTAAAACAGTCTGGTGGTAAAAGAACAAGCCCATTACAACCGGCCTGGGTAACTATGTTGTTTGTAGTGAGAACCGAAGGAAGTAATCAGGAGCAAGTTACAGACTCATGCGAAGCGACAATGACATGTAGATGCTGAAAAAGTGTGACAGTGTGAATGTAACACTGAGAAGTTAGACTCGTGCAAAGTCAGGGTTGTCGAAAGCTTAGAAAAAGAAGGCAGGTCTGATGAAGTCAAGAGAGCTGCTAGTGCCACCAGGCTGTATTTAACAAAGCAAGTATTAGCGTGATGTTTAACACTGTAGCAACTTACCATTAGGAATAAACTGGGGGAAACAAATGCAAAACTGTGACATTTCAGTCCCCAGAAGGAACCAGTTGGTAAGAGTGAAATATGGGAGTCAGTTAACTCTGGATCTCCAATGCAGAGAGATGACCCAGTAAGCTGTTTGAAGAGGCATCCTTCAAAATCTATTTTCTACATAATATCTACATGATACCACATGTTCTTTAGATTTGGAGGAGAGTTAATTAATTCTGTCACTGTCGCTATCAGCATGTAATGGCATTGTTCTCTAAACTATACTGATGTCAACAGAGTGATATATCCTAGTTCTGCCCCTGGAGCCATCAGCTAATGCCTCTTTCCTTTTATCTTATCATTTGTGTGTTTTCCTCTCTGCCCAGAGGACTTCTGAACTGCTGTGCTTCTTGTGTCTGCTGTAAGATGTAAGTTCAAGATATTAAGAGACATCTCCCAGGAACCCAAAATAACAGTCATGTCCTTAGTCCTAATTGATTGGAATGTCATTGCTGAAACTCACAAAGATGTTACTGACACTGATTCAAAGTAATTTACCCCTCCGGATAAATGACGAGGTAACGAAATTGTGTCATCCAACTGCTCTCTCTGCCTCTGGTCTCTGTTGCCTCTGGAACAACCTTGCTTCCGATGCCACACAGCAGAAACTAAGATGCCAATCGAACTGTCCCTCCGGGCTCAGACTCCCCTAAGAGTGCTCTGTGGGTTCGTAATAAATTGCCACCTCCTTAATTTAGCACTTAGGCTTAATCACGCTTTGTGTTGTTTTTATTTTTTAGCTTATCCTTTTATTTTTTAGCTTACACTTCATCTTCCCTCAATTACATACAGAAATGCTTTAGTTTCCCACAGTCACAATCTCAGGCCTCTTCTTTTTGTATGGATTTGTAACCTGCCCAGCAGGCCTCTTTCTTTAGTCTGATTTCTTCTTCCTCTTGCTGAAAGGTAAACATCAAACATTACTTTATCCCAAGAGTTTCTTGTCCTTCTTTAGGTCCTCAGAGTGATTCTAGAGACTAGCTCAATCAATGCCACACAGAAGATATTTAGTATATGTATGCTGAATGAGAAAACAGATGAATGAACCAATGAACTAAATATTTAGTATATGTATGCTGAATGAGAAAACAGATGAATGAACCAAGAACTAAATCAATAATACACAGACACAAAATGTAAGATGCATCCAGCTAAGCAAAAGAGTATCAGATATTCCTACTTTAGCTTTTTTATAGAGTGAAAGGAATATTTTTGACCTAAGATCTTTTTTTGTGTGTAAACCTCTCTTGAGAGGTGGGGAAACCTGGGTATGGACTGATTCAGGTTTCCAAACTAACATTACTTGATGACAAAGAGAAATAAGTACTAGTGGCATTAAGCTTTATATTCATTTTACAAATCCAGTGGTTTGTCAGGCATATTTGCTAATAAAAGCTCCTGGAATTTTTATCATCCTTATGACTTCAGCCTTGAGAAGTATTAGGTATATGAGATAAGTATATAGGTATAGGTATATGTTGGATAAAAGAATGAATGAATGAGTGAACAAATTATATTTCTGAGAAGCACATTAAAATTCTGGTGGAAGTAGACAGTCATGTGGAGTGAAGGAAAATACGCAGTCCAAGTGTAAAAAGTGTTTCTTTACTCATGTAAAGAGACATGAGTTCTGTCTCTGGCTCTGCCATTCTCTATCTATGTGACCTGGACTACTTCCAGAAGTCTCTCTCCTTAACTTCTGTGACCCCCAGTCTTAATCGTGAAACTTTTGTTCCTTAAAAGTTGTAATTTCTTAAGGAATATTTATTCTCTTTCCTTCTTATTTTATACAATCTCTCTAAGAGAATCTCATTACTAACTTTTTTATTCCAATATATGGTTTTTAAAATTTATATTTTCATCCCAGACTTTATGGCTATGATTCACTAAACAAATATTTTTAATACTTTCCGTGTGGTTGGTACTATCCTCTAAATATTTCACACATTTGACATGCTCAAAATTGAATAAATAATTTTAACTGAAAAAAAAAGTTTTTAACGCATATATTACAGGTCATCCCAGATAATGATGATGTGACCCAATTGTTCAAGTGAGAAATTATGGATTCTTTCTAAACCTTTCTTCCTTCTGTGATATTCTATACATGCCACTCTAATACTCCTCCTTAAATATACACAAAGATACTGATTTGACTCTATACATTCCTCAAGGATGCTATAACAACTCTTGTCTTTATCACATCACTCTAAAATTCACCTTCACACACTTGCCATGATGTTCTTAGGAAAAATTAAAAAGTATAGACACAGCATATGGACCATATATGATGTGTCACCTTCTTACTTAAGGTCTGCAGCTATCTTCTCATATAGACAGCTTCTTTCGGGGTCAAGTGGTAACTGCAGAACACAGTCCTCCGTACCTCAGTCCAGCATCCCCTTCTGCTGCTCCCCTGCCTGCCGAGGAGACAGGTGTGTATCAGTATGCCACGTGTTTCATACTACAGTTGACTTGCATATACTCTCACTTCTGATTTATTGGTTCTTATCCCTCTCATCTTCTGGATCAATTCCTGCTTATCTTAAAGATTATGGAAGGAAATAATAAGAATCTGTAAATTGAATTGATTTAGAATGTGGTATGGCAGAAAGAATGAATGATCTTTTTGATAACATCCCATTTTCTGCTTTTCTTTTATAGTACTAAGAAGAATTGAAAAAGTTACTTAACCTGTCTGTATTTCAGTCTCCTTATCTATAAAGTAGTGTTTTCAATGCAAGGAGTGGTAACCCTCTTCCTTTGTAATAGTCCTAAGCTTTAATGAAAACTGAATGACTCGTTTTGATCTCATCACATGCTCAACAAACACAAATTAATTTTGAAGCACAGAAATGCCATTCCATACAACTGAAGATGTAATGGCCAGAGATTAGTTTTCCTTCTTATCGTGTAGGCATTGTGTTTTACGGTTCTTAAGAGCTCTCACAATACATTCTTCAGGGTAAGGAAAATAAAGAACTATACACATGTTTTTTCATGATTGTTGTTGGAGAAAAAATATATACAGCAGGCAAAGGTTATTGATAACTAATTAAATCTCCATTATATTCTACCATGAAGTTTAGACTGAGAAAGTAAGTGTGTGCAATTAAAGTCCAGTTTCTACATTTTGATACCTCACCCTCTGTGATTTAAAATCTGTTTATAACAATACAAGATCATCTAATATTGGGAAAAACATTTCAGTTTAGACAGCACACATAAAGGAAGACATAAACACTTACTGTGTTGTCTTCCTAAAGGCTGCTCTGGACCTCCTCTGTCACTTAAAGTAGCCTAGATAAAACCCTTCTCTGCTTCTCAATGTTGATTGACAGAAGATAAAGGACTCCAGTTGTGATGAAAAATTACCAGCAAACTGTAGTCTTCATACAAATGCAATTCCTTTTATGTTAAAAGCCCATGAATGGAGGAAATGCTGCTTTTATGTGAAACACATCAATTACAAAAAGACTTTGGTAACTGCTCCTCTGGTTAAACTAAATTTAAGTTTGAGAATTAACAACATTTACTCTTTCAGTAGATGCTTGAGGAGTAAAGTTTGAGTGATCCTTCCAGTGAGGGTGAAAAAACTAGGTGTCAAAAGATTGAAATGGAATAAAGATGATATTTGGCCTGAAATAATTTGTCTATGCATTAGAAAAAAAAAATGGTGACTTGATTTCTACCAAAAAGTAACTGGATTGTGCACACCTTCTTTCATTTATTTATTCCTTTGTCTCTTTAGCCAGGTATTTTTAAAGATCTAGATACAAAATTTTTGAAAAGTTATAAAAAACTTAGTAATAATTCTATCCCTTACTAAAAGAAACTTCTTGATTGAGAAAGTCATTTAGCATTTAAACATCTTAGTTTCCTTATAAACATCTTAGTTTCCTTATATACCAAAGAGGGAAAAAAATTTTTTTTTGTTACTGGAAAAATCCTCTAAAGGACTCCAGGCCTCTTTCATCCTATCTGAGAAAAGAAAAACAAACAAACAAAAGATTATAACAGAGATTGAAAGAAAAGGAAAGAAATTTCTGAAGTCTTTGGGCTAGGATTTCTGATTTCGTAAACATAGAATTTAAAGTTCCATTTTCTATTAACTGTAGTCTTAGGATGTACTCTTTAAAATATCTTTTCTATAATGGTATCAATGGAGTAAAAGTCCAAAGCCTCCTTCTCTTTAGAAAGGTGTTCCCTTAGGTGTCTAATAAATGGCTGAGTGGAAGCTAAGCTGCAAGTAAGGTGAAGAAGTACTCATGATTTTAGGGTAAAAAATGTTTGGGGCAATTTTTCTATTTTAATTTATTGCCTCTTCTTGCTGTTAGGAATTGTGATAATTTGGGTTCCATTTTTACTGTGTAATTTAAAAATAAAAGCAACACATGATAAAATCTGTTTGATAATTACAATCAAAATTATAATTTTGGGCAATTTCTATATAAAATATATCTATTAGAAAAAGCTTGAAGTAATAGCTCTCCTAGCTAGCATCTCCCCAGCTAGCATCTCTCCCAACATCTCCCTTTGTGAATTAACCACACTGACTCTTCCAGGGTTTCCTGTTGAAGAGCTTTAGTGACTCTTTATTTGGTAGGATGAAATCAGATATCACAAGATTGAAAATAAATAAAGATATAATTGAAAGTAACTATGCATCATAAACAAATATTGGAATTGTTTGAGTTCTGCAAGAAATTGCCAGAATTGTACACAATCCCAAGTGTGGGCACAGCTGTATGTGGAAGTAGACCAGCTGTACTCACAGAATGGCCTGTGAGCCTCTGACTGTCCTCAGCACTCTTTCAGGGGGTCCGTCAGGTAAAAACGCCTTTCATGATAATATTAAGATGTTGATTGCTTTTCACTCTGTTGACATTTGCAGTTATGATCACACAAGAGCAATGATGGTAAAACAACTGGTGCCTCAGCATGAATCAAGACACCAAAATGTCCTGGCAGTCATTATACTTGATGAAGCAGTAGCAATAAAAGCATTAATTCAATTAAATCTCAAGTCATGAATATACAGCTTTATAATAGTCTGTGTGACAAAATATTAATAGAAAGTGTACATAAAGCACTTCTGATATCTGATGGGTGTCTGGGGGGGGGCACTTGAGAGGTTGTTTGCATTAAGAGCTACATCAGCTGTTATGGGTTTTATTGTTTTGTTTTGGCCTTATTTGGAATGTTAATTTTACTTAAAATAATAACTAATTTAAACTAGGGCTTCCCAGGTGACTCCATGTAAAGAATCTTCCTGCCAATGCAGGAGATGCAAGAGATGTGGTTTGGATCCCTGGTTTGGGGAGATCCCCTGGAGGAGGCAATGGTGACACACTCCAATAATCCTTCAAGAAAATGCCATGGACACAGGAACATGGTGGGCTACAGTCCATGGGCTCACAAAGAGTTGGGCACGACTGAGCATGCACACACACACACACACACACATGCAATGGAAACTATGGTTATCAGACATGTATTTGACAGCCATTTTCTTGAAAATGAAAGGAATGAGCGACTCCCTTCAAGGAAACAGCTATCAGTATCTGTGGTCAAAGATTTCTGTGTTCACATGAAACCTAGAATTTCAGAAAATAGAATTCTTCCTAGTGCTTATCATGTTTTGTAATGAGAATAGTGATGATGTTAACAATATGATTTACAGAGAAAGAATCTACTCTGGCTGTTTAAGGCATATAGAGACTTATTGCAGGGTATTAAATGGATTACAAAGTCATTTTTAATGTTAAAAAAAAAGAAAAAAATGGATTCTAGATTTATCCTTTAGAAATAGCTCCCCAAGCTGTGCTTGAAGACAGGGCTGCTGAGAGATCTCCTAGGATCTGACGATCAGCCAGGTTGGGCTGCTGCCGTTCGTTGTAACTGCTTGCTTAGAATCCACATCCACAGGCTGAGCCTGCTGCTATTGCTGCATGGGCTACAGTAAGGCTGCCCGTGCTGAGGTTTGCCTCAGTGGGATGCAGGAAATGCCAGAGACACAGGTTCAATCCCTGGGTCGGGAAGATCCCCTGGAGGAGGAAATGGCAATTCATTCCAGTGGGATAGAAGCTTCATGCCCCGCATCTCAACATTATTAGCAAATTCTGTCAACAGTTTTGGCTATTGTAGATTAAACTGCTGTGTGAACTTTGGATATACAGTACGCCTGAAAGACAGTATCTATTTCCCCACACAGACTTGGTGTATCTTTCATATTCTAATCACCCATTACTCTTTAAGTCAGTGAGCTGCTCTCAGTTCCAAGTAGCTGTGTCACTGGTCTCTAGAGTTACTTTCTCTATGTCTTAGAAATGTATATATATATATATATATATAATTTCCTTGAAGAAATATATTTCTTCAAGGAAATGTAATCCTGTAGTTATCTTGGGCTTCTGAAGAGGGACCAGTAAAAGTTGTCCAAAAATTATCCAGTATCATCCTTAAATTTTGTTCCAGAAAATATCAAATTGAAATATCTAGATTGTGTTCCAAAATATTACAGATTTTTATCCTAGAAAATAGCATATTCCACTAGTATCAATCAGTAGCCTTATGATTCTAGAAAGATTCTTTAAGAGTCATCATAGGAAAGGACATGTCATACCTGTTTTAATAGTCTTATAGGAAAGAAAAATAAGGCTGTTACTTTGCAGTAAACTCTATAAGGAATTCTTTCTGTCAGTTTATAGAAAGTGTTAAAATTGTGTAATTGTAACCATCTCTCCACTTGCTGTCTCCTGAAATTTTTTTCTTTTCCTTTAAAGATCATTATAATTTATCTTTGAGCATTTTGAATATCCAGAAAGACCACCAGTGTACCAGGCTTCTCTGACCATGAGATTTCCTGGGAGGAATACTGGAGTGGGTTGATTTTGCCCACCTCCAGGGGATCTTCCTGACCCAGGGATCGAACCCTGAACCCTGTCTCCTGCATCACTGGTGGATTCTTCCCCAGCTGAGCCATCAAGGAAGCCGTCATTCATCTAAGCAGGTGTCATTTGCATTATGATGGCCCATACCAGAACATCTTCAGTTATCTAGACTCATGGGCTCATAGCCAACTCATGCCTTCGGGTGAAGCGGCCTTGAGCTCCATCTAGAGGCTGGAGTGAAGAACTTACATACAGGGAATTGTGCAGAAATTAAGAAGTCACCATTAGTTAGGAACGATAAGCTAGAATTTAATCCTAGGTTTCCTTCAAAGAACACAACAATTGGGTCTATTTTTTTTTAAAGTACAGAATTTAATAGAATTAATTCCAAGAAAATTATTTATAACGTTTTCTTACACACACTAAACATTCAAATATATCAGGTATTGTTGTTACCCCTGAAATCACTAACTTGCTACCTGGAATCAAAACTAGGCTACTAGTATATAGGTATTCTATTGTTGCCCCAATGCGAAAA